ATCCCCCAGGCTTATCAATAATCTACATGCAACGCCATGACCCTTCCCATCTCAGCCCCTTCCTTCTCTGACGGTTACCGTCCTCCTGAGTCTGGTGTTCATCATTCCCTTGACTTCCTCTTCTTTCTTTTTAAATATATTTTATTGACGTCAGAGAGGAAGGGAGAAGGAGAAAGAGATAGAAACATCAATGATGAGAATCACTGATGGGCTGACAATAATCTACATGCAACGCCATGACCCTTCCCATCTCAGCCCCTTCCTTCTCTGACGGTTACCGTCCTCCTGAGTCTGGTGTTCATCATTCCCTTGACTTCCTCTTCTTTCTTTTTAAATATATTTTATTGACGTCAGAGAGGAAGGGAGAAGGAGAAAGAGATAGAAACATCAATGATGAGAATCACTGATGGGCTGACTCCTGCACAACCCTCACAGCAGATTGAGCCCGCACCCCGGCATGTGCCCTGACCAGGAATCGAACCGGGACCTCCTGGTTCATAGGTGGACACTCATCCACTGAGTCATGCTGGCTGGGCTTGACTTCCTTGTTCTTTTAGTTTTATTATATCTATATTTACTCCTAAAATTATACATTTAAAAAAATTTTTTAACGTTATAAAAACTGTATTGTCCTGTAGGTAGTCTTTTTGGAACTTACTTTTTTTTTTTTTTTTTACTTAATGTTCTATGGCCAAGATTTACTTACTCTAGCTCTTTTGTTTTGACTGCTTTTAATACTCCATTAAATATATCACAGTTTATTCATTCAGCCTTCCTCCAGGCTCTCCTAGTGATTTGCATTTGGGTCATTTCCAGGTTTAGCTATTGCGAGCGTTGCTGCCATGAGTATTCTTTTTCATATTCTCCATCGTGCATGTGTGGGAGTTTCTCTTGGGTATATGCTTAGGAACTGAATTGCTGGGCCATAAGGTATATGACTGTCTGACTTTAGGAGGAACGGCTCACTGTTTTCCAAAGTGATTGCACCAGTTTACACTCCCAACAACAATATATGTGAGACTATCCTGGGGGCTTTTAAGAATATTTTCTGAGACTTTACCACTAAGGAGGTTCTGATTCAGTAAGTTGGGATATGTGGAAAGCATGAAATTGACATTAAAAAAATTATCTCAAGAGATTCTGATGACCAGTCAGGCTTGCAAAATAATACTACTATCGTAGAATTTTTAGATTTGGGAAGACCTGGAGCTAAATTTGGCTGCTTTGAACTTGAGCCGATTCCAGACACAGACCTAGGCTCTTACTCTTTGACTTGATTTTTTTTTTCTTTGATTTGATTTTTAAAATAGTCCTTGGTATACCATTTAATAAATTTTTGTTAAATTTTTCAATCTTTGGTAATAAATTAAACCCATAATATTGTCAATAGAATAAATGGGAGACTGAAATTTAAAAACCAATTTCTGATTGGAGACAGTATATTTTCCTGTGAGATAAAGCGTTTGTCTTGGGTAGCTGGACTGATGCAGCATGGGAAGGGGGAGCTGGTTTAAGTGTCGTTAATCACTTCTTGCTTAGAAAGTAAAAACACATGTGTACATTTCCCCAAATGATCATCTCTGGGTCAAGTCCTGTCTCTTGTGTTTGGCAGACCTCATGGACACAGTCACAGGGCCAAAAGAGGAGTTGTTCACACCAGTTTTGGGCTCTCCAGTGACACCCCCTGGAATAATGGAGGAGGCACCCAGCATCGCCCCAGCACTCTCTGATTCTGAGGCATCCTCGGAGAGAAGAACCGTTGTTCCCTCCGTTAGCCGTGTTAACACAGCTGCCCCGTATGGCCTGGACCAACTTGAATCTGAAGGTACCCATGCTTTGAAGGGAATCTTTCCTAGGACGGATTGAATGAGTCACTGAGCAATGATGTTTTGAGGAAAGAGTAAGACGTGGCTTCAACCTGCAGTGTAGATCAGGGGTCAGTAAACTACGGCCCAGCAAATGTGGCCTGCCACCTTTTTTTTTTTTTTTTTTTTTTTTTTTTGTGGCCTGCAAGCTGAGAATGGTCTTTGCATTTTAATTTTTATTTATTTATTTAAATTTTTTTATCTTTATTATTGAATTTATTACAGATGTCCCGTATTGTCCCCCATTAACCTCCTCCTTCCCCACGCCCCCTCCCCAGGCCCTCGCTGCACTATTGTCTGTGTCCATGGGCTATGCATGTATGCATGTAAGTTCCTTGGTTAATCTCTTCCCCACCCTCTGAGAATTGTCAGCCTGTTGCATGCTTCCATGTCTCTGGAGCTATTTCGTTTGCCAGTTTATTTTGTTCATAAGATTCCACATATGAGCGAGATCGTGTGCTGTTTGTCTTTCACTTACTGGCTCATTTTGCTTAGCATCATACTCTCCAGGTCCCTTCATGTTATCTCAAAGGGTAAGAGATGCTTTTTTTTTTCTTTTACGGCTGCCTAGTATTCCATTGTGTATATCAACTCATCTACTGATAGGAACTTGGACTGTTTCCAGATCTTTGCTATTGTAAATAAAATCAAAAGAAGAATAATATTTTGCGACATGGAAAAGTTATATAAAATTCACCTTTCAGCCCTAACCGGTTTGGCTCAGTGGATAGAACATCGGCCTGCAGACTCAAGGGTCCCAGGTTTGATTCTGGTCAAGGGCATGTACCTTAGTTGTGGGCACATACCCAGTAGGGAGTGTGCAAGAGACAGCTGAGTCTGATTCTTCAAGGGCATGTCCCTTAGTTGTGGGCACATCCCTAGTGGGGAGTGTGCAGGAGGCAGCTGACCGATGTTTCTAACTCTCTATCCCTCTCCCTTCCTCTCTGTAAAAAATCAATAAAATATATTAAAAAAAAAATTCACCTTTCAGTGTTCCTAAAGAAAGTTGTATTGGAACACAGCCACACATGCTCATTGATGAAGTGTCTGTGGCTGCTTTGGTGCCAGAGCAGCAGTGAGTAGTTGGGACAGACTGAATGCCCATATAGCCTCAGATATTTACAACAGGGCCCTTTACTGAAAAAGCTGGCCCCTGGTCTAAATCAGTAGTTCTGCACTAAATTCGAACATTAGCATCACCTTCGGGAACTTTTAAAGAAGTTCCTTTTCCCAGTGATTCTGATTTGGTTGTGTGGGATGGGATCGGGCATCCACATTTTATTATTATTTTTCTTTTTTTAAAAAAATATATTTTATTTATTTCAGAGAGGGAGGGAGAGGGAACATCAATAATGAGAGAGAATCATTGATTGGCTGCCTCTTACACGCCCCACACTGGGGATGGAGGCTGCAACCTGGGCATGTGCTCTGATTGGGAACTGAACCATGACCTCCTGGTTCATAGCTTGACACTCAACCACTGAGCCGTGCCAGCCGGGCATTCACATTGTAAAAGAGCTTGGGGTGAGTTAAACACGCAGTTGTATCGAGACTACTGGTTTACATGGAATACTTGAGTCTCCCCACCTGATTTTCTTGGATGGAAGTTTTAATGTGGATTGTATTTTCATAACACTGTTCTGGTTGTTCATGTTGGGTTATTCTGTTTTATTCATAACATCTCCTGGTTAGGATGTCTCACTATTTGGAAAGAGACAGTCTTCTCCCCTGTTAAGACAGAAATTCATGCCAGATTATACTTTCCAAGGCACTGGCGTTGAGCATGAAACAGATGCGGGGAGCGCAGCTGCCCAAACAGGAAGCCTGGGAATATGACGAAAGGCTGTTTTATTCATCAGCATTTTGGCAGGTGAATAGCTCCTGGCTGGAGGTGCAGAATATCCAGAGATTTGCAGTGCTGAGCCCCTTCCTTCCTTCCTTCCTTCCTTCCTCCCTCCCTCCCTTCCTTCCTTCCTTCCTTCCTTCCTT